CTTTGCTTGTGGCAGACTCTGTCATTATTTTGGTCGCATTTTGACATTTCACATGTTGACAGACATGATTAACAAACCATATCCTACTGAGGACACAGATGGATATGGTTCTGTGACCGAAATGTTTGCTGGGTATATACATATAACTTTTTATATCATAATAAAAAGTAAATACATAAATCTTGTTCCACAATACTATTTTAGTAAAGCTTTTAGTATAAAGAGATATTTTGAAATACGTATCACAAAATTTTAATTACGCAAAGAAAAAAAAATGTAAAGTATCTTAATATGGAAAAGTAACTGAGTGTCGAATCGTCACCAAATTTTTCTTCTATCACGATTTTAAACTAAAAAGATACACACACATAAACGTCTTATATATCATTTCACATTTTTCAGACTACACAATGCTTTTCTCTCACCATACGATCTTGATATTCTAATATATTTGTAGATAAATTTCCACCATTTGTGTTTGTAATAATTTTGATATCCGAAATTTCGACAAGCGCAGTGTTATTATGTGTCTAAAACAGTCGAAATCCGCAGCTTACTACACTTAAAATACATTTATTGTGATCGAACCTGCAACACATTGTATAGGTTCTGGATCCCATTTCCCGGCCTCAGTACATATCACGGATGTACTTTGCCGATCGTTTTCTTGCTCATAATTGTCTCGGCATTCTAGCATTGCCCTTGTGTTCGGTAAAACTGGGAAATCACATGACCACGAGTTTTCCTTATATATACACGTAGCTTTAGTAGATACTGAGTTCAAAGTTTTGCATCCTAGTTCTATAAAAAAAAAAAAAAACCAAAAACGTTTTGTGTGATTTTTGTGATGAAAAGCATTGATCTTTTGTTATTATTAATAAATATACATAGTATTTAAGACCTGTGTCTGAGCACTTGGGTTGCTGCCCACTTTCTAATTTTTTTATTACGTTGGAAATAAACCTAACGTGGCTAGATACTCTTGTAAATATGCTATACATATTGTTGTTACACGTAATTGACTGTCCTTGTATAGTATTGAGACTCATGGTGGCAACACCTTGAAGATACCACAAATCATTAATACGTACGACTAATCCACTGCCCCTGTCATCGTCACACACAGAGGATCCTAAAATATTTGAAAACTTTGTATTTATAGAACTGTTACATAGTATCTTTGTCTTTAGTTTTTTTTGTCTTCACTGACCGTTCATGTAACCCGCACAGAATTTGTCATCTGAAATAACATATTCTTCTCTATCGGCAATTCGCGCCGCAGACCTACACTGGTTGATCGAAACATGCGTCATATTCAACGCCTGCAAGATCCCGCTGGAGTTACTAATTGCCGATGTCGTACCGAAACTCGGAATCTTTCCTATATCGCCTGTTTGTATCACAGGAAAGATATTGGAGAAATCGATGCATATAGGAACCAAAAAATCCGACAATTTAAACGGCTTGTCAATCTCTAATATTGCGATGTCCGATCCGTAATTTCTTCTCGATCCTATGTAGAAGCACTCGTAAATATTATTCACCTGCAAAAAAAAACACATTTGAACATTTGCAACTGAGAACGTATAGATTAGCACATTACGTGTACGTTAGAAAACCTTTCTCTCTTGACCGATGTTTTCGTCGTAAGGAACGTAGAAATCTCTGTAAAGGTTTCCTGTCATTATATTAATCTCGGTAGGATTAATTGGCCGTTCATCCTGCTCACTGTACACACAATGAGCTGCTGTTATTAAGAGATTCTCTGTGATGATAGACGCTCCGCAAAAATATGTCTTTGATGAACCACGGTACAAAGAAGCATGCCATGGGAAATCCGTGAATTTAGGCATATACCGATAACCGCGGGAAATAAGCGGTTCGATGTTGACAGGCTGTCTGCCGCACGCTACAACAAATATTTTCATCGTCGGAGTGGTTCACCTTATTTCTTACACCATGGTTGTATTTAAAAAGGTCTTGATCGACAGCTTAGTATCGTAACAAAACTATTTATTTTAATCGAACCTGGAACACATCGTATAGGTTCTGGATCCCAGTTCCCATCTTCGTTACATATCACGAATCTACTTTGTAGATCGCTTTCTTGCCGATAACTGTGCGGGCACCTCAGCCTTGCTCTGGTCCCTGGTGGAACTGGAGATTCACACCATAAAGGTATATGCCGATTTTCCTTTCTGCATGTAGCTATAGTGGACACTGACCTAAGAGCTTTGCAGCGTATTTCTACACCAAAAGACATTTTTTAATGTGATTGATCAAAGTTTCATCGCAACAGAAATGATTGCAAGTTTGTACTTTCAAATATTTGTTTCGGTATTGTTTGTTTCACTCATCAAAACTACAAATAAAATTATTATTTCATTACCTGTGCATTCTGGTATAGTAGGCCAATGTCCTTCAAAATTACAGATTACATTGGGAGAACCGTTAAGTTTATATCCTTCATTACAAGAATAGATAAGTTGAGAAGCTGTTGGAAGTTCTGTTCCTTCTGGAACAACGCAATTTTGTCTACTACCAAAACACAGTTTCCTATGCAACATCCAACGTCCGTTTTGTGGTTGTGGAGGCGCTATGCAATTTGTTGGACTGTATATTGGCGGTAATTGCGTAGTTTGTCTAGTTGGTGGATGTCTAGTTGGTGGTGATGGGTGTGTGATTGGTGTGGGGAACGGTTGAGGCGTCTGCGACCAGATTGATCCGCACAATTGTGGATCTTCATCCGAACTGTCGGCGCAATCGGCCACTCCGTTACATCGTCGATCACGATCGATACAAGCGCCATAAGCGCAACGGAATGCCGAACACCTGCAAATAAGTTGTCAGTTGTAAATTATTTACTTTTATTAACTCAACTTGAATTTTAAACATTTACTAAAAATAAATTGAAATTGCATCCTTACGGTAACGATCTGCACAACGCGGGCGTTTCGTCGGAGCCATCCGCGCAATTCCGGATTCCGTCGCACGCTTCGATTTCGGGAATACATTTTCCGCTGTCGCATCTGAACTCAGAGGATNTACATNGCGAGNGATTNTCCGATCCATTGACGATNNCCGNAGTNTCNCATTGAGGCAGCGTTTCGTCGCTATTGTCAATGCAGTCTTTAACACCGTTGCAGATCAAGTTTCCGTCTATGCACGCACCGTAGTTACAACGAAATGCGAGAGAAGGGCACAAATTTTCCGACTCTTTACATTCGCTCTGCGTTTCGTCGGACGCATCTCTACAGTTCGCTTTGCCGTCGCACAACAATTCGCTCGCTATACACTCTCCGTTGCGGCATCGAAATTTATCCAACCTGTTTTCAAACAATTAGAGTAATAATAGAAACTTGAGATATTCTGTATTGCGATTTATAGTGCAACACACATACACACATGCGAAACAAAAAAAATACTTACTCACACTTGGTAATTTCTGCATACGTAGAAACAATACAAACTGCTGCAAAGAATCCAAGCATTATCTTAGTTTACTATAAAAATCAAATTACTTCGTTGATTTTTACTTTATTGCTTTATTACTTCTATGTTAAAAAAGAAAAAGTAGTTTTGTAGGACTAATGGCGCATATATGTGTTTAGAAAATTAATTTCGCGGCCTTTGAGCACATGTATATGCAGTTAGAGTTCTGCTGCTCCAGAGCAATTTTGCATTCAGCTGCTTTGTAAGCGAAAACTTTTCTTATCCGTATAATTTTTTTTGCTCCTTCTTCCGTACTTTTTAATTAACGCACACATTAAAAATTCACAAACAAAAATCAATCGATTATAAAAAAAATTGGTAAGTATACCAGAGTTTGATCGCAAGAAGCAACTATCAATAAGAAATCGTTAATAATAATGATAGAAAAAAAACTTGGCATGCACATGAAAATATATGAGTTGTAATATGCGTGTAATATTACTTTACTGAATATCATCTAATACGTAAACAAGATAAATTCTTTGCTTCAGTTCAAGGCCAATCAAATTATAGTTTTTGAAACTAAGATAGTTACTCTTTAAAAGAAAAAAATATGCGCGGTTATGTGTGTACTAACAACAAGAAGTTAAAAGCAGTTCGAGATGTACATTTTATAATTATTTTGTAATCATGTATATATTACATGCTACGATCTTTTTATCTTCTTTTTTTTAACCGAGATAAATAAAAAATAATTCATGTTCAACAAACATGAATTAACACATCACTGACGTTACTGATAAATAACTTCATTTTCTTAGTAAACACTTATTAGTTTTAGATTTTGTTTTTATATACGCACATATGTAGTGATAAATATAAAAAGTACTAAAAAAGATCTCTGGGAACAAAAATTTTGTAATCAAAAATTTATCTGAGAAAAGCCATTGCACTTTTTTCGTCGATATAAATATGCAATATCTGATAATTGCGATTTAATATACAATACCGTAAATAAGAGCGATGTGTGTTACACTTCTCATCATAATAATCGAAAACAGTCTGGTTACAATGTCAATCAATATCTCACTGTTTATTGTTTAGATATAAGTCTTACTACTTATCCAGTAAAAATAAAAATGGTCTGTACGGTCGCTTCGTAACCGGAATTACCCAATGAACCCAGTGGGTGTGTGTGTTATCTCCATTCGCGCGCGCGTTTGTGGTTTGTTATGTGTGTAGAGAAAATCGTACATATTGAATCCGCACATTTTTTAAATCATGTACTTATACAATAAATTCAACATGAGTTGATATAGCCAATAATGCGTATATTCTCACATTCTTAGTTCAGATATTTACGCAAATATCTACTTGAAAACTTTAATATACAGAAGTACGCTGCAAAGCTTTGAACTTATTATTATTACTATCTATCACTGTGCACATAGAACAAAAACTGAGTGTTGTGGAAGTTCCCAGTTTAAATACCGAAGACCAGAGCGACGCTGAGATGCAAAGGCAGTTATCGGAGAAAAAGCGACCGGCAAAGTACTACATTCGTGATATGTAATGAGATCGGGAATTGGGATTCAGAATCTATACGATGTGTTGCAAGTTTGACCACAATAAATATTTATCTTAACAATACTACACTTTCGCTGTGTAGATTGTTCTTAGAGAAAAACTAACGCTACGCTCGTCGAGTGACAAAAGTATTATAAACACGATTAGCGCTAATCTAAAATTATCATCAAATAGATATTACAACATCGAATGGTGAGACAAAAGTTTTGGTTGTGGTAGTAACAATATGAAATAATATACATCACTTATCATTCTAGTGGGAGAAAGCAAAATGGAATAATATAGAATGCTATTTATTTAATGTAAATACGAATATGTGTTTATTATCCATAAGTATTATTCTGTGTAATTACAAAATACAGTTACAGATATAGTACTATATATACAAAATAATTTACAAATACGCATGGATATGTACGCGCGCAAAATTTTAAAATTGTTGCGAGATTTTACTAGCTATGCTTCTCAAATGTCCATAAACCTTGGATGGCGGACTGCCCAAAATTAAATTACATATTGCTCTACGGGCCAATTGTATATTCTGATGAGAACCAAGAATATGAATTCTGGTGTCCGCAATGACGATTCTAGTTTTAGTCACGTTCTCAATGGTGAATTTGGTTCTTCCGCCTTTGCCCGCTAATCTTCCAATTGCTCTAGACTGATGGTCACCCTTGAGCTGTTGTCTGACATCGTGTATATCAAATGTCTCTATAAAGAGATCATCTAAACGTAACAGAGCTAGAGCATCTTCCACTTCAAAACCGCAAACAAAAGCTTTTACAAAATCTGCTGCTTTCTGGAGATTTGCAATATCTGTAGTCTCCGGTGATGTTCTGATTTCGACGTTTCTGCTTTTTAAGTTGAAACGCACTTGTAACTTCAGATACTCAACAATAGGTGTGAATATCTTCATCCAATTTTCTTTCAGAGGTGAATATCTATGTGCTGGTACTGGTACCTGTGAAAGAATTATAAATGCGTAAAAACTGGGTTTTTAATTACACAAAATTTATAATATAAATGTTACAAAAAATATATTACATTACCTTTCTAAATTCTCCACCTTGTACATTTTTTGCTTTTTTCTTAGCTGAATGTTGCGTGGTCTTTCCTTCTATACCATTAACCACTTCTATCTAAAATATAAGTAAAATACTTCTATAATTTCGAGATTTCTATCAAATTTTTTATCCCTTCACAGACAGACTTTGAAAATTACCTACAAGTCGGACAGCCTGTATCTGTGAGATCTACGCGACTTTAAAATCAAATATCACTACGAAAAATCTATAAATTTAGAATTTTGTTTGTTTGAATCAAAAGTTCGAACGACTCTGCATCAATCAAAAAGCAAAAAATAAAAAGTAGGTATAAAAATACAAGGATTTATAAAATTAGTTAATTTTCACTAGAGACGCGTAATTTTTGAATTGAATTGGAAAACCGACATCTATCCGTGAAGAATTGTGTACGAATATAACCTAATAGTACCTCCATAGGAATATCGTTAGCTTGACGTTTTGTGGTCATATTCGTAGGTTTGGTGCTCGCCATTGTATCTGTAATATATGTTTCTCCCTTTAAAGAACACCTTATTACTTCGTTTTATTATCGCGTGAAAATGTAAAACTGACTTCTCCACGTGGTCAACCTGGCTCGGTGCAAAATAGAAGATCGAGTATTTACTTTTCCAAGTAACGAAGATGAGAATCCTACATAGCGCATAGGGGGAGAAGAAAAGCGTACAAATGGACCGAAGTAGGGATAGCGTTGCATGTGGGATTGGCAGAACACCCGCTGACAGCCATTGGCTGTGAAGTGAGAATCGAGCTTTCTGATAGGGAAAATGCGCGAAACGGACAAGTGACGCAATAGCGCTGATATCTCAGTGCTCCCCAAACGCAGTCCTAAGCGGCATAAATAGCAATCGAATGTAATTGGTTTGTACTTTAAATCTAAACAATCACAGTAAATTGCTACTTCGCAGGTTAGTGAGCGATTGTGATTGTGACTTGTGCTTCTGGATGCAGTAAATGGACTCGTTCAAAAAATGCAAACTTTGGCTGCGTTCAGCAGAACTCAGGCGCTTTGGCAAGCGCTTTGCGCTTATTGTCTGTGATTGGCCTTTTCTTGTAAATCTATTTAAACTACTGAGAGTACAAGCCAATGGCAAACAAAGCGCTTGCTAAGCGCTGAGTTCTGCTGAACGCAGCCGGTGTTTGCACTTTTTGAACGTCAACAAAGCGAGCTACGTAAAGATTGTAAATCCCGAGTTGATGAGAGTGACCTTTGCGCCTGGATGTTTGTGCTGTTTCTAAATTCTCTTTTGTCATTTAAAGATTTGATAAAAAAACAGTAAATTGTCGCATGGTAGTGTGTAACGATGCTTTGTTGAGTCTGTATTAAAAAGTGTCAATTGGTACATAGATATGGACAGTCAGGTGTGCGGAGACGGTAGATTGATAGAGGTAATTGACGAGGGCTGGCGTAAAGAACGTCTGCCTATCGATGACATCTCGACACCAGTAGCTGAACTGCCTGATCCCGAAAGTGACAACGGTGATTCGCACATGACACTGAAGGAATTGGAACAAAAGTGGAACAATCTTGCTTTGAGTTCTCTCAGCGACAACCATCTACACTCGCCGACACCTTTGCACAATTAAGCCAGTTTTTTTTTTTTTTTTTGAAGAATTGGTAAATATTTATAATTTAATTGACCGCTTTAAAAAATGGAATAGAATAAATTTTTATTCTTTGTGTGTGCAGATTTTTCAATGGCCAATGACAGCTTTAGTGGCAATTCTCCGCTGCCAGCGGAAAAACTTCCTGATTGTTGGAATCAAGAAGAACGAATAAGCGCGTTGTTTTCACCGTTTCGCAGTAAATCCGCAAATCCACAAGATTGGATTTCCAAGTATAAATTCTGGCATAACTTGATATATGAGTGGCTGAGGCACTCTATGCGATGCAGTTTCTCTGTTGTCGATTTAAATCAAGTGTTTAAAAGGAAAGGCTGTACACCTGTTTGCCTGACTACTGTGATCGAAGAACTTCTTAGGTATTGTTACATTCATTAGATACAGATTTTTTCAAAACAATTTGACTCAGTAATTGCGAGAGAAGTATTTTACATATTTCGTGACATGTAATATTTACAAAATTTTGTTTTGCAGAAATAATGAGATAATTCAAGAGACTGATTTTTTTAAAGATCCATGTGAAACATGGACTGCATGGTCAGTTAATGTACTTGTAAAGAAACCAATTAGCTGGTCACTTTCTAAAGTAAAGAATTATGTAGTGGGCCAGAATACAAATGACTTGGAAGTGAAATATGTACATTTGCGTATTGTGCAAGAATTGAGTGATGTTATTCTCTCTCTTGCCGAAGTTAAACATAATAATGTCTTGTATTCGATCTCGGATATAATAGAATATTGTAACAGTAAAACAAACCAGCAGATCTCTGAGAATTCAATAAGATTGGCACTGGAGTGGCTGAGACAGAAAAGGAAAGCGATTTTAAAGAAAAATTCTGATTCGAGTAGCGAATTGCTGGTTAAACTTTCCACACAAACGATAAATGAAATTACGCAAGTGGAAGAGGGGATGTACAAGCTAACGAAGCAAGAGAACAAACTGATTAAAGAAATAGAACTTCTGGAGAAAGAGAAACTCAGTGTCATTAAGGAAGTCAAGTTGTATTTGGCAAAGGAGCTGCGTCAAGTGGCGAAAACACACTTGAGAAGAAAGATGGAATTAGAGAAGACAATAGAGAAACGCGCGCAAGCTCTCGTGAATTTACGTACTCTTATCACCAGCATCGAAGATGCGCATTCTAATTCGGCTGTATTCTCAGCTTACAAAACCGGATCTGATGTATTGAAGGAAATAGGAAAAGATGAATTAGTGGAAAACGATGTCAGAGATGTTATGGATGAAATCAATGAGGTGAATAAGATTGCACGTTGCGCATTTTATGTACTTATAACATCAAGAGAGAAACACTATCTTTTTCGTTAATTATAGGTTTTACTAGAGAACAAAGAGAGAGAGTCGATTTTATCGGAGACACTGATCAATAGCGAGTCTGATGCTGAATTAGAAAACGAATTAGCGGAACTGTTGAAGGATGATGGCGAAAAAGCCTTTTCAACAGGCGACGAATCAGAATTTGAAAACTTGGAGCACCGATTGAAGGACTTGTATATGGATGGTAAAAATATCTTCAGAAAAGATTTATTTATTGTTATACGATTATATTTAATATAAACTAATCAAGAATGTTATTTATCGGTTTAGTTTCTTCCAACACAAATGTAGCTGTGCCATCTCGTAAAGACAAGTCGTTAAAAAAGGTGGAATGTTTGTGAGTTGCAACAACATATTT